AAAAATAATATTGTCTGATGCACCTAGAAGTACAATTCGGGAAAGAAAGAGATCATGGATGAAAGTTCACAAATTGCTTCTAAAGCAAGATGGCTGACTTTTCAGTTATAAACAATTTGCTAGTTATAAATGGATTCTCTTCTTGTTGCTGTTATGTGCTGTCAAATCAGGTGTGCCCTACATGAGGTATTTAAGGAGTGATTTTAACCTCCCTGGCAGAGCTGGGGAACTCCTGAGATCTGGTCCGTTACTCACCCACAACACCACACGGAGTACTCTATAAATGGGTTGTTGTTATAATAATCATCATCTTAGATTTGCAGAGCTAGAAGGGACCCTGAAGATCATCAAGTCCAGCCCATGTCAAGGAGCATGGTGGGGAACTGAACTCTGCCTCTGCAGCCAGGGACCTAAATCACCGAGCTATCTGGTACTTTATTATATGCTTTCAAGACAGAATTGACTGATAGCAACTCGAATAGGACTTTCAAGGTATGTGAGATGTTTAAGAAGTGCTTTTAACCAGTTCCAGAACCCCTAGTGAGTACCTACAGGGTGAGCGGGGATTCAAACCCACAGCTCCTGAGTCCTAGTCTGTTACTCTATCCACTACATCACACTGTAAATTGATTTTAAGAAATTCAGAGAAGCAATGGGAAAAAACAAAAATGCCTTGGGTAGTGTGTATATGTGTGTATGTTGTTGTTATATGCCGTTGGATCGCCTCCAATTTATGGCAACTCCGTGAACGATATCTGAGATGGACAAAAATGCCTTGGGTAGTGTGTATATGTGGGTATGTTGTTGTTACATGCCGTTGGGTCGCCTCCAATTTATGGCAACTCCGTGAATGATATCTGAGATGGACTGCCCTCCACAGCCCCTGCTCAGCTCTTGCAAACTCAAGCCTGTGGCTTCCTTTCGGGAGTCAGTCCTTCTTGCATTTGGTCTTCTTATTTTTCTAGCTGCTTTTCATCTTTCTCAGCATTATTGTCTTTTCCAGAAACTCTTGCCTTTGCATTACGTGCCCAAAGTAGGAGAGCCTCACGTTCAGAATTTGATTAGCAGTAGGACCCACTTGTTCTTCTTTTTGGCTGTCCAGGGTATCCACAAAGCTCTCTCACAGCACCATATCTCAAATGAACCCATTTTTTTCCATTCAGCTTTCTTTACTTTCCAGCTTTCACACCCATAACATGGCTATCGGTAATATAAAAGCGTGGATGATCTTGGTCTTCATCTCCAGTCACGTTGCCTTGGTGGGTGGGTGGGTGGGTGGATGTATGGAATGGGAGTGTTGTCATCTGCAGAATGTTACCTTGGGAGTTAGTGAGCGCTCCAACACTGGAGGCATTCAAGAAAACCTTAGATAATCACCTGGCAGATATGCTTTGATTGTATTCCTTGCATTGAGCAGGGGGCTGGACTTGATGGCCTTATAGGCCCCTTCCAACTTCACTTTTCTATGATTTCTAGGTTCCCCCTGACAATTTTTTTTTTTTGTCCAGTCGTGTCCGACTCTAGGGGGCGGCGCTCATCCCGCTCTTCAAGCCATAGAGCCAGCGTTTTGTCCGAAGACAATCTTTCCGTGGTCACATGGCCAGTGTGATTTAGACACGGAACGCTGTTACCTTCCCACCGAAGTGGTCCCTATTTATCTACTCGCATTTGCATGCTTTCAAACCGCTAGGTTGGCGGGAGCTGGGACAAGCGACGGGCACCAAGCAACTGTCTTTTGCAATTTAGCTGTGGGCGTGAGTAATGGTTGGGCTAATGGAAATGCTGGTTGTTGTAGCTACCTCCTTTAAAAAAAGAGCAATTTTTATGAATTCTGGTCAGTAACACCTTGTTCACACTCGGCTCTTCTGACAGATCACAAGTGGTCCACTGCTCTCTGGCCCAATGCTATTTTTCATTTCTGAACAAATGGGGGACCTGGAGCCCTATGAACAACGTGCAATTACAATTGTGCCCTCTTTTCAGGGTGGATAAAATTAAATGAAAATCTAATTTAAATCTGAATTGATTCAAATCATGAATTAAATAAAATAATAGATTTTAAAACTTAAATTGCCAAAAAAATCTGATTTTTAAAATTTGAATCAGTTTGATTTAAATCAAATCCACCCTGTACCTTTTTAATGTCATTTTTAACCTTGGGCCATACTGACTGGAACTGATGGAAACTGGATTCCAACATCATCCGAATGGTGCCAGACTCCTGAAACAGAGAACCACCTCTATTTAACCTACATTACAGGCTACAGAACTTAGATGCTAGACAAAAAGGGTACCCCAAGCTCTGTGCGGCCAAGCACAACAAAGAGTCCTGTGGGACTTGAAAATTTACTTTTTTAATATATATATATATTATATATTAGTGTTTCAGTAAACTAAAGATATTAGAAATGTTGCCCCCGCCATTCCTATGCTGCCTTTTCTCTCAAGAAGTCTTGATACTTGGAAGGCAGACCGGCTTTTCCCATCCTCAGGGACACTATTTCTACAAAGCTGCAGCCGCTGCTGTTGTGCCGGCCTGGATTCCAGCCTGTACGCAGCCTCGGCATCTGGCAGAGCAGCAAAGGTGAGGTAGGATTCTGCCCAGAAGCCTGCGTGGGAAGGTGGTGGCTTGAGCTTGTTCATCTTGCAATGTCTGCAGGAATGAGTGAGAGAATCATACATTCTCATTTCGTCTAGACGAAAGAAGGTGGGTGTAAACTGAACAGAACAGAAATGGCATCGTTCTTCCCTACCCACTGGGTAGGACAGCTACCGTGGAAGAGAAGCAGATATCAGGGACCAGAACACAACCACTTTTGGCAAGCAACTAACACGTTTTCCCGTGGGGGAGTGAGGGGAGTCATGTCTTTCTCCAGCAGACCGCTTAAACAACAAACTATTACTTTCAAAAGTCATCTTCATAAATCTTCCCACATACTTGCATCTAAGTTTGCAATACACCTTGGGTTCATGCCCATTTCGTCGTTGTTAGGCACTCTGAAGTAGCTTCTGACTTATTTTAGTAACTCTAATAGGGTCTTGCAGATTATTTAAGGAATGTTTTACCAATGACTCCCTCCCATGACTTTTCATGGCCAAGATAGGATTTGAACCCAAGATCAAGGCAGCAGACAATGAAAGAGAGAGACAGAGAGAGCTTTGCAGTCCAAATAAATTGATTTCCTCCTTCCATTGTGTGCCCCAGTGTTTATAAACTAATTTAAATAACATTAAAATTGATATAAGTGTAGTTATAGCCAGTATGACTGCGATATAATTTGGCACAGAATCATTCTCCAATTTCTACCACTGCTTATATTGACTGTTACTAAGGCTTATTCTATTTAATCGTTTCTATCTAGGATTTTATTTTACATGCATCGCTTGTGTTATGCACCATTCTGGATCTCTTTGGGGAAGAACAGAATATAAATGAAAATAATAAATATGCTTTTACATAACTTGCCTGCTCCCTAGTTAATCATTGTTCAGTGAAAATGGATTATCAGTGCTCTTATTGTACCTACAAGACTTATATTGCACTATTGGAAAAATAAATGCCCTCCTGTTGCCATTTAATGGATTGGGGACCTTGAAACGCTATCCACTTATGAATGCACAGCATACAGATAACTGTGTACAGATATATTTTAACATTTAGAAGCCCTTTACAGATGCCATAGATAGATGACTTCAGACTGAAGCAGGGGGGCACCCCTTAAAATTTGGGGTACAGCACACACCCGTCCATGAATTTCCCCTGCCAGATTACAGAGAGATACTATTGTAGTTCTACTGGTGTCTGTCCTTTATGATTCATTCTTCCTTATGTTTTTAGCATAATACACTTTATTTGAAAACAGAAAAATGCTGAGTCTATGTATAAGCTGATCAGCCCTCATTTCTGTGTTGTTGTTTTTACCTCATACTGTACTTTGCTATCTAAAAAGAATAATGAAAGTTCCCAAATAAGAACAATGTATGGCATCTGTGCTTTTCACTGTGGAACTTAATCTGGCATTTTGTTGGCTTCTTTTAACTGTTAGATTTAACACGTTCTGCTGCAGTTGCTGGAGACTTACTACAACCTGAGCATTTCACAAGGAGACATTTTAAGAAAACTTTCTCCTTCAGGTGCTATTTCAGTAGCAGGATTAAAGAGAGAAGAACTGCTATTTTAGGACTTAGTTCCATGATTGTTTTTTTTTAATGTCAGAACAAAGAAAATGATACATGTTATAATTTGATGTACACTTATTTCTGAGTATGCCTTCATGGATTCTTATTACAAATAAACATTCATAGGATTATGCTAACAATATTGTATGCAAGTCAGACCTGCATAATCTTTTCTGGCTGCCAATTATCAGAGCACACTTGCCATTTCTTGAAGACTACCTTCCAAACTAATCAGGAGTTCCAGGAGAAGCCAAATTTACCAGCATCCTGCTATCAAAAAATATTTAGGGGTGCAAAGTTTGGCATGCAGTACCTATTGCACTTAAGTTTCAGACCAGCTGCAAATCAGCTCTAATGTTTTGATAATGGGGTCCTCCACTACCTTTAAAAGAAAATTGTAAAAAAAGTTTCAGAAGAATCTTGTATATTTTCAGCAAAGCTATGCCCATCTATTAAACATTGCAAACATGCCTTCCTCAGTCTGATGCCTTCCTGATATTCTGGCCTACAATTCCTAACATTTCTTACCAGTGAACATGCTAGAATAATGAAAGACGAATTCCAAAACCAAGTTTGGAGAAGACACGTCTGTCCTAATCTAATCAGAGCCAAAATTTGGCTTCACACCTTCTTTTATTGCTTAGCTATAACGCTCCACCTAGAGCCAGAAACTGTAATCGAGACTCACTTCTTTCAGAAGCTATCAAAGGCATTTGCAGACAGCATACCTGTAACAAAATTAGGAAAATTGTGGCTTTGCAAAGAAACTTTTTGTCCTTGGAAACCAGTTGCAAGCAAATAATCATTTCCAGGCACGTGAGGATGTTTTAATTTAAATTATTTAATTATCCTTTAAAAAAAAAATAAATGCGTGTTTACAAACAGTTAATAGTAAGGGGCCTTGTATTTTAACAAGCTTCCTTTCCCCAAGGCCAGCCTTCTGTTTTCACGGGCATCATCTATTTTTTCCCCTGCCAGGCACCTGAAGCTTTCAAATACAAGAATGGATTTCAGTTCCTGGCTCTCTCTGCCAAGCCTGCAGGTATTCAGGGTCCCAGTGAAATCTGAGGATGGTAAGATCCGAGGGTAGCAATTGTTGCAGGTGGATTTAATCCACCAATACATTGTTCATGAGGAACAAGAATGCACTGCCTCTAGGTCTTACACGACCTTCAGGAAGACAAAGACCTCTCCTCTTCCACCAACCGAGACTGATGTGATGAGATGGGTATAAAGTGCTGGTGGGGAAAAAGAGCAAGAAGCATTAAGTTATAGAGACATGAACAACATGGTCAGGAAAACACATTGTCCCTGCACATTTGACCCAACACAGGTTGGAGATGAGTGCCTGAGTCTTAAATGACATGAAACCGAAATAAAAAGACTGCTTTGTTGCCTTGGTGGACGACCCACAGTGGGAACTGGACAGGGGGGGGGGGCGAGTCCCTGTTGGGTCAGCTGGACCTCTAGCAGTTTTCAATACCATCAACCATGGTATCCTTCTGGGCCGTCTCTCTGGGATGAGACTTGGAGGCACTGTTTTACGGGAGCGCCACTCCTTCCTGGAGGGGAGAACTCAGAAGATGGTGCTGGGGGAACTCCTGTTCTACATCCTAGCCTTTGGCCTGTGGCGTCCCTCAGGGATCTGTTTTGTCCCCTATGCTATGTAGCATCTACACAAAACCACTGGGAGAGGTTGTCTGGAGTTTTAGGGTTTGGTATGATGAGTACAATGATGACACCCAGTTCTCTCTCCTCTTTCCATTTAAATCCAAGGAAGTTGTTTCAGTTCCAATTAAGTGTCTTGTATCAGCAATGGGCTGGGTGAGGGTGAATAAACTGAAACTTAATCAAGACAAGACAGAGGTGCTCCTGGTCAGTCACGAAGCAGATCAAGGAGTAGGGACACAGCCTGTGCTGGATAGGGTTGCACTCCCTCTGAAAACACAGGCGCGCAGCTCGGGTGGCATGCTCCTGGATTCATCTCTGAGCCTGGATGCCCAGGTGTCGGCAGTGGCCACGAGTTAAAACTACTGTGCCAGCCGTGATTTTTTCTTGAGAGGTCTGATCTGGCCACAGTGACACATGCCCTAGTCACATCTCAGCTGGATTACTGTAACACCCTCAATGTGGGGCTGCCTTTGGAATGTGTTCAGAAACTCCAGTGGGTCCAAAATGCTGCAGCCAGTTCGCTGACTCTGGCGGCTTACGGGGAACATACAACTCCCCTGTTACAGCAGCTCCACTGGCTGCCAGTCCGTTTCCGGGCACAATTCAAAGTGTTGGTTTTAACCTATAAAGCCCTTAAATGGCTTGGGTCCAAGCTATCTCAAAAAATCTTATCTCCCTCTCTGAGCCTGCCCGGGCATTAAGATCATCAGGGGAGCCTCTCTCTCAGTTTCACCACCTTCACAGTCGCTCTTGATGGGGAGACAGGAGAAGGGCCTTCTCTGTGGCTGCTCCCAAACTCTGGAACTCTCTCCCGCAGGAGGCCAGGCTGACCTACTCTTTGCTGTCCTTCCACAAACAGGTGAACACCTTTCTCTCCAGGCCAGCTTTCCCTTAATGACTGGTGCTCTGAGAAAGATTTTAAATGGATTGTTGCACTCCCTTGTTTAAATGTGTTTTAATATTGATTTTATTCACCATTTTAATATAATACCTGTTCAATTATTTTTTTAATATTTGTATAATTACTGATTTTAGCTTTTAAATACTGGTTTTTAATTACATACGCTGCCTTACATGTTTTTAATGAAAAAGGCGGGATAAAATATAACCTAAAACATAACATAACAGACTCACAGTGTTAAAATCTTCTATTTAACTTAGGACAAAACTGTTGTTACCGGATCAACAGGTTGGCAGCCAGAGTGTCCAAGCAGGGACAACAAGCATCAGTTACATAGGCAATCATGACTGATCGCTGGCATCTGTTAGTACCACTGTTTTTTTCTGCCACACAGGACAGCTTTGAGTATAACTAGAACCCCAAGGGAATGGTTCGCTAAACGTGTAGTCTTTGCCAGGCATTTTGAGAGCTTGGGTTTGTTATAAAGAAATGTTCAGTGGCAGGTTGATTTTAACTAGAAACAGGATCTTTCACACAAGAGCTGTGAAGAAGGGCGTAGGAAGAGAGAATATTCAACGATGCCCAAAAGCTGCAAATCTTAAAGAAGCACAGGGGACGAGCTGATGGTCGCTTGCCACTGAACGAGCCATCACAGGTTCCCCCAAATATGGAATTCATGCAGTGGCTTCACACCGAGGCTTGTTAAGTTCTCCCTGGTGAATCTAGACGCAAAGGGGCTCCCTCCACTACCAACTCTTTTACAAACTATTTAAGGTGGCATTCAGGTTTTTAATATTATGCCGTGGGAAATACAACCTGTGAGGTGTAAATAAAAGAGGATGAAGAGACTGTTGTTCAAGCTTTAGCGCCCTTTCAGAAGCAGCAGCACAGGACAGAACGTCTCCCTCTCTCTCTCTCCAGAGTGTGGGAAAACTTGCTTTTGGGGACTGTGACTCCCAGAATCTCTCAGCCAGCATATCCAGTGGCCATACTGGTTGAGGGGAGGTGGGGTCCATGAACTAGAAAAGTAACTTGTTTGTTTGCTATTGAGCACAACTTCCAAAACACCCTAGGCAGTATAGACAGTGAAAGATTCTGGGAATTCCTGCCCAAAATGTAATTCCTGTTGGAGGAATTTTGGTTGATTCCTTTTAGTTAGCAAAACATAAAGTACAAGCAACAAATAAACAAATATTTGCAGCACAGGTGTAATGCGAAGAATGGTTAACAGCTCCAGCTTCCACCCAGGCCCTTTCTTCTCACAGTAACTAACCCTTTGTACTGTATATAAAAACCACTCTACAATTAGCTTAAGTGGAAAAGAAAAGGCATCTTTACTTACAGTTGATCTTCAGCTACAATCAGAAGAATAAAAGAAAGGTAAAAGAAACAAATTGTAGCCTCAACCATGTGAGAGTCTTGCTGCACTATTGCAACGACATGATTGGAGGCAGGAGCAGAGAAAGAGCATATCTACTCTAGTCCAAAGTCAGAGAGGAAAACAGAGAGGAAGAGATAGAGATAAACAAACAATAGAAGCAAACAGGAAGAGGGGGCAAAAACTTGCCTCAAGCCTGAGAGAAAAGGACTCTATAATAGATTAGTGACAAGGCATAATTATGTTAGTCTGTGAAGCCCGCTTCCCAGTGTTAGGTTGTGTGCAAGATTGTTATTTTCTCCAACACAACCTCTCTCTCAAAAAAACACCAGGAGCCTCAGCCTCCCCAAAGAGTCACAGCATATTTCAGTTTCCCAGATTAGATCCTCTGAGTCCTGGAAATATATGCTGTTACTTTAGCTGAATGAAGAGGACCATTCCAGGTAGGAGCTTAGTGTGACATGAAGTCAGTCGCTAAGCCATAGTCCTCTGAAATGTCCTGCTCAGCAGGAAGGAGCATCTCACCAGCTGGAAATCCAGGCTTGATCAAGTTCTCCTTCCTTCAGAACGTCTCCTTAGACAGAAGACAGTGACACGCAACAGGAACCGTCTCCATGTCATTAAAAATCTCATCCTTTTATTTTTATCTGAGGCTGAAGTAGCCTGAAATGCCTTAGGACTCTGGATCTTACCACAGTATCGAGGGCATCCAGCATTTTTGCCACAGGCTCCTTACATCGCTGTATGGATGGCTGGGTGGCGGAAGGGACGCGGGCAGTATAGAAAGCGCACTCGTCATTCAGGCAGGCCTCCAAGAAGTGCTGAGGGGCGCGGAGGACCTCACTGAGCCGGTGCTTCATCTGGTCTACAAAGGGAAGCAAGGAGCAACACGGGAGGAGGCTTGAGCTACAGCACATTTAGCAGCCAGGCCAACAGGCTGTCCCTCATGGTCTCTGAGCAGAATCACCTCTGGGATTCCCACCTGGGTGGTATTTTATCTGGCACCCTCCCACATGGCTATTCTTAAGGTTCCCAGACTAAGTTTAGTAATGTTTAGGGGCTAATGCAAAATACATATAATTTTTAAATGTTTGTTGTATGTCTTTCAGGCTGTTTGGCTATGTTCTGGAGGTTTTTCTTCCTAACGTTTCACCAGTCTCTGTGGCCGGCATCTTCAGAGGACAGTAGTTAGAAATCTGTTTGTGTCCTAACTCCTGTCCTCTGATGATGCTGGCCACAGAGACGGGTGAAACGTTAGGAAGAAAAACCTTCGGAACACGGCCAAACAGCCCGAAAAGCCTACAACAACCATCGGATCCCAGCTGTGAAACCGTTCGAGAATACAGACATTTAAAAGTTCATTATTATTGAAGGTCATTCTTCCTAAAGTTTCTATGGTTATTCTTTTTTTAATTTTTTTTATTTCTTCAGACTTAATTTAAAACCAAAATTAAATTTAACTAACAAAGGAAAATATAATACTAGAAAAACCCAAATAAGAACAATAAATACAATAATGTTACTATTCACTATAAACTACCATTATACTAAAACCAAAATTAAATTTAACTAACAAAGAAAAGGAAAATATAATACAGAAAACCCCCAATAAGAACAATAAATACAATAATGTTAGTATTCACTATAAACTACCATTATAAATTTAAAATATGACTATAAGAGCACGAGACCATAGTCTCTTGAGACTGAAGGATGCCTATGCTATAATTGTAACTGTCACTCCATACATCTCAAATTAAACATACAAATCAGTAAAGGCCTTCCAGTTATCCAAGTAAATGTCCTCATGCAATTAGCGTCTGTAGGATATGTGCTCAAACGCAGCTAGGGCTAACAGATCGCCTGAACATGGTGTATAGTCAGTGGGGCTATACACCACGGGGCATGCTCATCCTTCCAAGGGCAGAGTTTAAGTCTCCTAGCCACCACAAGTGTCTCGGGAATGCTCAGTTCATTAACTTACAGGTTCTTAAATATGTTTTAAAATTCTTTTTAATCTTGCTATATGTTTAACTGTTTTTAGCATAATATTTATATAGTACTTTCAAACTGTTGACTATTTTTAACTCTTTAGTTGTTGTGAGGCACCTTGAGTCCCTTATGGGGAGAGGGCCAGTGTATAAATAATATGAATAAGGGCTTATAAAGTCCACTTCCGTTTCCTATTTGTTGGACCACATGGGATAGAAATAGAATTTAAGAGAACATGAATCTCCGCAACTACCAAAGATTTCTCCAATTCTGCATTAATACATGCAACCAAAAATGAACAAATTGCTGGATAAGCCCAGATCAGATCACATGTTTCAAAGATGTAGTTCCAGTATTACATTTCCAACATTTGCTGGAGTATCTATGCTTAATTTTTGTTGCATTTATAGTTCTACTCCTGCGGAATTGAGATAATGAGATTTACCATGAGATTTATATGAATTGTTTAGTAAAGTCAATGTTTCCATTCTCAAAGGGGCTAACAACTGGATTTGGCTCTGAGCTGAAAGGCAGGTCATCATATTTAACCCCCCCAAAAAAAAAACCAAGGACCCCACCACACTAATTTTGAAATCGACTCCATTTATTATGTCCCATATACATGCCCAGTAATCCTGATCAATGATTCTATAATGGAAGTCAGAAACTGCCCTATGTGACAGATGACGTATACGACTGACAAAGAGGCAGGGCTAAAAACTAGTTGCCAATCAAGGTCATGGCTGAGCCACAAGCTGTGAGCCTTGCCCTTCCCCTCCTGAGTCAGGACTACCCCAGCTCATTGTCTGGGTCACTGTGCTGCATCTGTTCAAATCATGTAATGCACCAGACTCCATAAAGTACCCATTCATTGCCTCTGAACAAATGCACCTCCAAGGGTTGCAAGTTATGACAGGATATGGGACCCTGCAGATTTCCCTTATGCCTAACCCAACCAAACCTTACATAGACCCAGCAAGCGGTAACAGGGGTGGAAAGTCTACAGGTGCAATCAGGAAGTGGCAGCATTTCTATGTCAATGTGAAAACAAAGGCTAATCTATAGTTTAATCAACACTGTAACAAAGGCCTCGTGGTGCCACTCGTTTTATGAAACCATATTTGCAGAGACAACAAAAACTAAGCTTCTCTAGAAGGGCAATTCCAGTCTATAGCCCACCCAGGATATATAAATCACTGACCACTTGGAAAAGTGACTTCTTTGGACTGCGGTGTGAGCCCACCAGCTGACAGGAGGATTCTGGGAACTGTAATTGCCATTTTTTTTACCCGGCGGCCGTTTTGGAACAGCTGATCAGCTGTTAAAAAATCATTGCTTTGCGATGATCGGTAAGCGAAACAGGGAACCGATCATCGCAAAGCAAAAAAACCGCATAGGAAACATCGCAATGCGATCGCAAAACATTTGTCGCTATGCAGTTTCATCGCTAAATGGAGTGCCCGTTAAGCGAGGCACCACTGTATATAAATCGCTAGCCACTTGGAAAAGTGACTTCTTTGGACTGCAGTGTGAGCTCCACTAGTTGACAGGAGGATTCCGGGGACTGTAATTCAAAGCAGTAAATGTTTTGAATTTTGCTCATTCAGCATCACATTCTTGACCCCCAGGGCAGAGGAATCAAGACCATCTGCCTTACCTGAATTACCTGTATTAGATGAAGGGAGCTGGACCAAACGCACAGAGGGATTGGGACAGACAGGGTGCTGGCCAGTGAGCGTTGTGCCAGGTTCAGGTGGGGCCGTCGGAGCAGATCCGGGTGTCGGCTTGCAGGCATCGGATCTAGGATCCTGCAGAGGTGTGCAGGGGAGGCCGGGCTGGGGAGCCTCCAAAGCAGGCGAGGAGCGAGCAGACAAGAGTTTGTGCAATTTCTCCAGTGAAGGGGCAACATCAGGGCCCATGCCGCTGTTCACCTCCTGCTGCAAGAGCTCGGCAAGGAGCTCAATACGCTAGAGGAGTAAGACAACAAAAGGGCAACACCTGGGCAGATCCTCAGAGCTCAACCCCCATTTTAGGTTTCACCTAAAGGCAACATCACAGACACATTTGCTCCTCCATCCTGAATTTCAAAGTGAACGGGAAACTTTCCAAGTCAGCCAATATTGTACATTTCTACACTCGTGTTCTAAGTCTGGAAAATTTCAGCAAGGGTTGGATACATACAGAGATACAACCGGAGCAACAGTATACCAAAGAGATGTTCTTGTGCTTCTCTCTGCAACCCTGGAGGCTAGACTTTTTCCAAACAAATGAAAGTGCAGTTTCTCTGTTTCTGCCGAATGAAATTCTCGACCACAAGAGCTCAGAATGCCCAAGTCTAGCACATCCTCCTTAACAGCCGGGTCGGCCCTTTCACTTCAACAGTTGCTTGCTTTCTCTGTTACAACTCCCCAAACTGTGTGGTTTATGCCAATCTTACTATTCCCTGCTAAATCCAAAACGGAAGGTGTCTCACTTGTCCCTTCTGCATCTACTCAGAGGGCTGCCCCCTTCCTGCCTACGGGTTTCGCTTGCCCGAAAAACTTTACCACCCCTTTTAGTCAACAGATCCAAAGCATCATTCCTGGCAAACATTATTTACCATTTAATCTCACATTTCACCCAAGGAGCTGAGCTCAAGAGAGTGTACCTGGCTCTCCTTTGGTCCTGGCTGTATCCGTAAAAGAACCATCTGGAGAAATAAGTTAAACTCGAAGAGAACAACTAGCCCAACAGGCATGGATGGGATACCTCCCTTTGGGGCCTGGAGGCGGGATCTCCTGAGCTTCAGAATTACTGCTGGGCCAGAGTGGTGGCTCTCTCCAGAGCCACCGCAAGGAACAAGGAAGATCTGGGCAACACTTGGGCACTCAAGTCTTCTGGGCAGGAAAGAGAGGCGCTCTCGGTTACCCTTGCCACTCCCTCCACTTCCATTTCCTACCTGGAGCTTTCCCATTTCTGGGGTGATCACAGGAACAGCTGGCACTCTCCTCACCGATGCAGCCACCTCTTCATCAAAGAGCCGCACAGCCACCTTTTCCTGTACAGGAGGGGAAAGGACACATTCCTTCCACGGGTTAAAGCTACAGTATTTGCCTTGTTCAGCAATGGAAGAGCAGCAGGGAAGAGTACGGTGTGTGGGGGTGGGGGTGGTGTCTCTGCCACGGGTTGGCAAAGAAGGCTTTGTTCCAAGGTGGGACTTGGGCAGCCACTTCTGCCTCTTCCCGTCTTCCGACGGCTGCTCAAAGAAGGTGCATGCTCACTCCTAGGCCCTGCTAGCTGTTGGGGAGCACTCCTTTTGTTTGGCACAATCACGTGGGGAAGGTGTCAGAAGACACAAGGAAGCCCTTTAAAAAATATTTTTCCTGCTTTGTGTTTTTTTTAAGGGGATAATAATGACAATGTAGTATTCATATTGATGGTAATAAAATTCCAGATATCCAGAAATTCCAAATTTTTACAGTTTCAAAAATTCTGGTGCCAGTGCACATAACTAAAACATTAGAACCATATCTAGTCAAAACTGATACTTCCCGGGACTACAGCAAAGAGAGAAGAGTAAATCATAGAAGACCATCACCTCCCAACACATCCGTATCATCACCGTATGGGCCTTTTAGAGCATTGTGATGGAGTTGAAGAAGTGGGATAGGTAAGCAGAGAAATGTAAGATGGAGTCAGACAGGTTCTGTGTGGAGATCTGAGAGACATTGGAATGTGTTTTTCTAAATACTACGAGAGTGTTTCTCTGAAGACCAGTACAACGTGGTTCGAGATAAAGCTGAAGCTTGAACAAAGAGGCCCATGAAAGACTCAACATTCTGAGCGAATTGGAGAAGAGATAAAACACCTGGATCTTCATGGGAATTGAGAGTGGAAGAAGGTGTTACAGCCCCTGCCTTGAGGCTAATTGGTTAACAGCCATGAAGTGTCAAGAAGGGAGGAGTTAGAAAATGTAGATAATGGATGATGGGTTATGTGGGAAAAGTTTGATACTATGATGATGGGAGAGAAAAAGAACTTGATGGTTTAAGCATGTGGCTTGAAGGAGAAAGAATGTAAGTGAAGAGAAAGGAGGAGGTGAGGGTAGCCCACTTAGTAGTATTGTTAATTTTAATGGCGATTATCTTTGAATATGTTCTTTATGCTAAAGCTTGAGCAATATAAACTGAGTCTATGAAACTCTATTTTGCTAATAAAAAATAACTATAAAAATCCTTATAAAGGACCGGTCTCTTGAACAAGAGGGTCTGGCTAAATCCAGGGAGTGGAGAGGGTCACAAACTAGCTATCTTTAAGAGTCCTACCTAACTGAGCTGTTGTGAGTTCTAAGGAATCACAAAGCCCATCTGTCTGTACTTGCAAAGTACTGGATAAAAGTAAAGTGCTCTTTTAAGGTCAGACTTGTTTCAAAGGGCTTACGCTACGCACTGCTGAGGTCTTGGGACTTGCCTCAGTGCAAAGGTGGTAGGTCAGTGGCCTGTGGAACTCTCTGACCGAGTGCTAAGCGCTCCTTAGGGAGACTTGGGCACCACAAGCATTACTTCAATTCGGAGGGAGCACGGTTGTAGACTTTTCTCTTAGCAGAGGTGCAACTTTGGTAAGGCTAGGGGGTCATGTTTTTGCCTGAAGCACCTGTTGGAGGTTGCATGTACGGTTTAAATATGTTTTACACCGCTCCCCTCCAAAAACAAAAACCCATGGAAGTGCCTAGACATCCTTCCCAGTCAATATTCCCTCTGAGCGGCATGTTCTCGCCCAGAGCTCCGTCAGGGTTGCACACAGGCAGCCGGCTTGTCTACTTCCCGTTTCAAATTAAGCCCTGCCCACCCCACAGAGACGAAGCAAGGCTCCTGTGCGATGGGACAGAAACCTAGAGGGAACGTTTTTCCCAGATTTTATTTTCTCATTTTTGGAGGTGGGGTGAGTCTCCTCCCAGCATATTTAATTTGAATACTGCTGCTTTTGGAAGTCTCCAGGGAGCACTGAAACGTATTTCCTCAAAAGTTTTTTTTAAAATAAAGTCGCATATGATAATGATATGGGCACCTGTAGCAGATGATGATTTTTTACGATTTTCTCTTCTTTCGTTGTTACCCTAGTGCTGGGAAGTATCAGTTTTGGCTAAGTCTGGGCCAGAACTCCATACTTGCCTCAAACCGGTGTGTGTCAGAAGTCACTTTTGTCACTACCCACGACGTGTGCCCTCCTGCACTTTTCCCAGCGTGCCCTGGGTCCCATTGTTAAGCACAGTAAAAGCCTTGGGTTTGGCAAGAGAGCCCTTCCCTCTTCCACCGGACCCGCTTGTCCAGCGGATGGCTGGGCAGCAGCTGAGGCCAGGGACAGCAGTGACAGGAGTCGGGCCAAGAGACTCCCCACAGCTGCCTCTGCTGCCCACATGTGCTCCCTGGTGCTGTCTGTGCTGCTGCGGCTGCTGCCCAGCCACTTGGCTGGACAAGCCAGCCCTGCAGAGAGTGAAGGCAACCTGCTCCATGTGTGGTGAAAAGGGAGCTGCTGAAACAAACGCCCTGGGCAAAAACCACATTGCCGGGCAGCCAGTGGCGGCTGGCTAGTGCCTTCCCTTGCCTTTGGGGGGGGGGGGAATATCCCGTGGCACATGCATAGCAGGAGGGTTTTCGTTCTAGAGAAAAAGCTTACTATGGGTTACTGCAGTATATAAGTTTCAGCCGTGGTTTCTAACATTTTTGTTAAAATGGTGTCCTCCTTTTCTGAACATAATTAAGATAATCTTCATCCACAAAGATCTGTTTCGTTCCAACTGTCCAGGAGGAACATTCATGTTCTGACTACCGCACAAACTATTTCAACGTTTAAGTTCCTTGATGTCTGCTTTTGCAGTACCTATTTTCTAGCAACTAGTATCTATCCATTACAGATACAACTTAGGAACCTTACACGACTGTAAAAAGGTATGTGCCACCCAAGAGCCTTATATCAGGCATTCTCACGAAGAAGTTTCAGCATATGAACTAAAGGCATTTCAGCAATGGAAATCCAAAACGCCCTTCTTGCTCTACACAGACAAGACTCTCCCTGTCCGTCCCCCCCCCCGTTATGAGCACTTACCCAGGACGAGGGAGTGCCCTCCTCTTTGGCACCAGGGGAGGTTATCTGTGGGGTGACGCTGGCCTCTGACATAACCTAGGAAAGACAACAGGTGTGCTAGCACTTTTTGCAGCCCTGCCCTTTGTTGCTTTGGTTGATACCAGTTTCGATCCCTGCTCCCTCTTTACGGCCAGCCCAGTGATCGCTCCTAGTCATTTTCTACAGCCAAGGATCCTTTTAAAGCAGTGTTTCCCAACCTTGGGTAACCCAGATATTCTAGGACTGCAACTCCCAAAAACCCTAGCCAGTACAGCTGGTAGTGAAAGCTTCCGGGAATTGCAGTCTGAGAATACTTAGATTACCCAAGGTCAGGAACCACTCACTGCTTTAAAACATGGCTGGGAGAAAATATGTCCTTCTACCCTGCTTCCCTGAAAATAAGATCTAACCTGAAAATAAGCCCTAGTATGATTTTTCAGGATGCTCGTAATATAAGCACTACCCCCAAAATAAGCTAGTTAAGTTAAACCCCACTCTCCACCATTGTGCAGCAACCAGAAGAAGATAAAATGACTGTAAAATAAAACATCCCCTGAAAATAAGCCCTAATGAGTTTTTTTGGAGCAAAAATTAATATAAGACCCTGTCTTATTTTTGGGGAAACATGGTAGATATCAGTGGATCCCAGTTCTTGTCAGCCCCAGACAGCCGGCCCAGAGCAAAGGATGATCAGAGTCTTTACCCATCAACAATTAGCATATCATAGGTTCCCCAGCCTAGCTTTAAAGGGTATTCATGAGAATCAGCACCTGCCAAAAATATTTATACATTAAATACAAACACGTACCATAGTTACCAATTAGTTACTAAGTCTACAAACTCCCTCGCCCTTCAAAGATCCAGCAAGACAAAGTTCTGTGGAAGGTACCATTTATGCACGTACACACACGCATGCACACACCAAAAACTCAAGTAAACAGCAGAAAAGTTTCTTGGTAGCAATTCTAGGAGGGTAAAGTGCTAGCCTTCATTTATACAACCTATTTTAGCACCAGCCACCTGTAACTGTAAAACAAGGGATAAATGTTAACATGATCTTTCAAAGGGTGCCACCGCTTGAACACTGCTGTGAGGAATCTGCCCAGCCCAACAGAGGTGCTGAATTAAATAGATGACTGATCTACCACAAGAGTTATCCAGACCCTTACCACATTTTGCCCAGCACTCAAAAGAATCAATGGAATTAACAATGTACAAAGCAGGCATCCAATAGCTAATTAGCTCCAGATCAGTCAATATCTCAATAGCTAGTCATTCCAAAGACAGAACATCTGAGAAGGACTAAGACAACTGAAATGTTTTGGAGTCAAGCACTCTCAGGCAGTTAGTCCATTATTAGCACATGTCAGAAGATTAAAGTCCACTTACCTGCTGTGTTTCTGTTAGATGCTGGGCAGCCCCCCTCCTCAGCTTTGGGCAAGAAGAAGTAGGCACACGGCCGTATGTCCAGGGGCTGCGCCGCTGTTTAATTGCAAGAGAAAGCATTCAGAGCCTGAGCTGATCAAGGCACAGAACTTAACAAAAACTACCAACTTAAAGAGGGCTTGGGTAGCTCAGTGGCAAGCAGGTTTTAAAAGGCTCTTGGGTGGCCATGCTGAGAAGGACATCTGCCTAAGGCCAGGAGAACCACAGATGGACCGCTCGAGTCACCTGGCCTAAGAAAGTTCCAAATGAACTTCATTTAAACTTCATCTGTTTCTCCTTTTAAAAAAAACAAACTATAGAGTTTCTACTCATTCAAGAATGTCCAAGATAAAAACTTTCAACAGTTTTTGAAAACAAAAATGCTGTAAATAAGGCACAGCTTTCAAAAAGCATAACAATTGTTCATTAAAAAAAACTGGGAGGGAGGGAGAGAGAGAGTACAGTTTTGAACTTGCGAGCACGGGTGTCAGTCAAACCTCTCTGGGAAGCGTCTGCCACAACCAAGGAGGCCCTGTCTTCAGTTGACCCCCTGAAGGTTCATCTGTGAAGGTAGGGGACACACAGAGAAGGACCTCCAAAGGTGATTTTAAACAGCCAGACAAGTTTGCAAGAAAGGCAAATACAACAGGCTCCTAGGTATGCAGCAGGAATTAGAAACGTGACATCCTCCAGATGCAACTGGACTACATCTCCCATCATTCCTCATAACTGGCAATACTAGTTGAGGGAGTTGCAACTCCACAACATCTGGAGTATGGAAAAGGTAATTTGGGGGGGGGGGAGACTACAAGTCATAGGACCCAAGCTGACCAGGGAATTCTCAGAGCCACAGTCCAAAAAAACAACATCTCCAAGCTCTGACGGAGTGTCACACATTCAACACTCCTGACAAGAGAGGACTTATGAATCAAAAGCCAGTGCTTTGTCTATTCAACCCAGCAACCCACCGGAAGTCAGCATGGAAGCTCGTTGCCACAGTGACATCTGTCCCCTCTGATGGGTGGAGAGTAAGGATAGTTACAACTTTCAGACAGCTGGGCCCCGAGCAATAAAGGAAACACCAAGGAGCCCTGTTTTTCCTGTTCCTGAAACCTACAAATCCAAGGACTTGCCCACATCCTGCTGGGAAATGGCCATCCATTTCTCAGTTAGAGACGAGTTACAAACTGTGGACATCCTTTCCCCCTTTCCAAACTTGTGGAAGTTCCCTTTTTGTCAACTCCCAGAATGCGCCTAGCTAGGAGGTTCTGGGAACTGTAGTCCAAAACAGAAACTATCCCAAGCTCTACAAACCAAGGATTGTGTGCCGGCAACGGGAATCCTCCTAGCCAGCCCATAGGGTGAACAGTCAACAACTAAACATCTGTTGCCGGGTGTGTTTGTTAGTTCGGTTCCTGAAGACTGTGACTTTTCCAGTCCTATAAGATGGAAAAGAGAGAGAGAAAAGAGAGAGATGTTCAAAGACACCACCTTGCTGGATAACTCAGTGAGTTTAGTACTTGACTATGGAGCCAGAGGCGAGGAGTTCAGTACTCCACTGTGCCTCCCGGAAGAGGCAGCCTGCGTGGCCTTGGGCAAGCTGCGCAGCCCCGGGGTCGCCCAAGAAGAAGGGAAGGGTAAGTCCCTTCTGTGCATTCTTTACCTAGAAAACTCTGCCAAGGGGCTGGAAACTTTAAGCAGTTCTAAGGATGAACAGGCTCAAAAACCCCCAAATAGCCCACACACCACCTCTCTGGCAAGCGATACCTTTACAGCCCTGTGTGGAATAACAGGACACACGACCAAATTTTCCTGTTGAGGATACTCTTGCACATGGTCCACAGGAAAACGCATTTTCACCCTAGAAAAAGAGGAATAATTAGCTCCCCTTGGCCAACCAGGCCAAGCCCTGTTCCTGAAGGTGACACCTCAGCATCCCAACCAGAAGTTTTCCAAGGCCAGTCTTGCATCAAACTGCAAGTGGCTGTCTAAGAAAGCACTTTTATATGAAGAACATGAGTTGATGGCAGGCATGGAATCTGAGTTGGAAATATACTTTTTCTAGACTACAACTCCCAGAATTCCCAATTGCCATGCCAGTTTGGAGATTTTGGGCATTGTAGCTCCACCAAGCAATTTCATTAAACTCTCTACAGAGTCCAGTACAATGGTGCCTCGCTTTACGATTGCCCCGTTTAACGATGAAACCGCATTACGATGAACTTTTTGCAATCGCAAAACGATGTTTCCTATGGGGGAATTTCGCTTTGCGATGATCAGTTCTCTGCTTCAGGAACCGATTCTTCACAAAACGACGATTTTCCAACAGCTGATCGGCGGTTTCAAAATGGCCACCGGGTAAACAAAATGCCTCCCCACTGTTTTCTGGGATGGATTCCTCGCTGCACAGGCAGCGAAAATGGCCGCCCTATGGAGGATCTTCGCTGGACGGTGAGTTTACAGCCGTTTGGAACGCATTAAACAGGTTTTAATGCGTTTCAATGGGTTTTTTCTTTTCACATTACGTTTTCATTCTACACCGATTTTGCTGGAACGAATTAACGTCGTAATGCGAGACACCACTGTAGTCATCAGACGGTGCAGGGACGGCAGCATTTTGCATGCCAGGTTTCCCCAGCTACATGTTTTTTCTGTTCTTAGCTCGTAGGTCTCTCCTGTACAGCTTCTCGTCACAGACGCCACCCCCCGCGGCAAAGCGGGGCTTTCAGAGGTGCATTTTCACTGCTGAAAAAGCCCCAGGAGGCTTTGCCGGGGTGGGTGTG